GACATATTCATTCTTGTAAATGTGTTTTCACATGTCCCTTGTTGTTGTTCCATGCCAAATAAATTTCACACATATTATATTTGGTAGTTTAATGATTGATATTACTTCAAATTCATAAATTTTTAACTTTCTAATTAAGTCAAATATAGTAAATAAATATTGCTAATTGAAATCCAGTTTGTTTCGAAATTTACTCTTATCTCTTCAACTGTCCATATGCTACGAACTGCATCCAAGCAGCCATTGTACCTAAAGTTCAAAAACTGATTTGCTATCACGTCAAACTCAATGAGTGATAAAACCATAGTTTAACTTTTTTTTTTTATAAGAACCATAGACAATTAGTGTGGGAAAATGCATGTTAAGAAGTTGCAATCCTATTCGAATCAATTTTGGCTATTAGGTGTTGCAATCCTATTTTCCCAGTGTTCCGAAGCAATTCATGTAAATGCCAAAAGAAAGGGTTAAATGGCATTCTTATGATCACATGCCAAAAAGTTGAGCTTTACCATTAGCCATGAATGTTACATCTTTACTTTATTATTATTATTATTTTGTTACATGGTGGGGCAAGCCGCAGAAGCAAAGAAAAACTAACAAAGAACACTTCGAGGCAAAGCTCGAATTAATCTATCATCATCCAAAATATGCTCAAGAGAAGAAGGCACAACATCAAAACTATGCAAACCCAAAGATAAATTATGCAGCAGAAAGGTGATCAGCAGCACGATTCTGCTCTCTGTACACATGCGACAAGCGATATAACCAATCCTTTCCGAGAAACTCTTTACAACCATTAATTAAACTGAAAAGGGTATGTGAATCCACAACGTCATGTGTGAGCATATGAATCATAGCTTGAGAGTCACATTCAATCTCAAGTAAATTTGCAGCCTTCATTCCATGCAAGGTGTAACCCATGGAAAAGGCCCCATAACTCAGCTTCCATTACAGTACCAGAATCAAGATTCACAGTAAAGCCTCTGACCCAATTGCCATTAGAGTTTCTCAAAAAACCTCCAGCGCAAATGTGAGAAGCAATAGTGTGACAACTACCACCAGTATTAAGTTTAATCCAAATTTCAAGGGGATACTTCCACGCCACCATAACATCTTCTCTAGGTGGTTTGGTAGGGATAGACCTATTAGCCGCATGCCAATCCCTAGCAATGTTAATAGGATTAGATGCCATAATATGTCCTTAAGATTTATTTGCAGCCAATCTTTAAAGGGGAGGACAAAGGTGTGAGCAACTGAATGTGGGGCACCGATAGAGTTTCCAAACAGAGAGAGATTTGTTGCAACTTCTGAAAATAAAAAAAATACCAGAACAGTCCCGATCAACTGAATGGTTCAAAAAAGTTTCTTAAAAGGAGTGCAAGCGTGAGTGAACCATTGAATTTACATCCAATGGTGGGTGACCACAATCTCTTGGACTACAGGGGTTCAAGAGATTTGTGGTCACTCACCGTTGGATTTCAACGGTTCACTCATAAATTTTAAATTTCAAATTAAGTCAAATATAAAAACGACATATTGCTAAATTGAAATCCAGTTTGTTTCGAAATTTACTCTTATCTCCCCATCTCTAACAAACATATAATCATACCCTTATCCGCTATCAGCAATAATCTTATCTCAATCTTGATTATCTTCTATATATAATTCATCACATTCAAGCATTTTGATGGTGGTAGAGGGTTTATTGTTCGCCTACAATACAATGCCTAAGATATCTATCATGTTTTGGTGTTTTCTCTTGCTGCCATTGGTTTTTTATCGTTCTCAGGCAAATCAAAAGGTTGGAATTTTTGAATTGAAGAAGCTGGATTTCTCTGTGAAGCTGACTAATTATGGCGCAACTATGCTCTCTGTTGTTCTCCCTGATAAGAACGGTATGTGGGATTGTGACTGTGCAAGTTTTCTATAGTTTTATTTGGTGTTCAAATTTTGCATTCCATGTTTTATAAAATCTGCTTCTTATGTTCTTATTTGTATGATTTCTCTCATCTTATTTTAGGGAAACTGGACGACGTTGTTCTTGCGTTCGAATCACTTAAAGACTACTCGGTCAGTTCATAAATATGTTTTATCTTCTTCGTGTTTCCATCAAATTAGAATGATTGCCATTGAATGTTAATTGAGTGGTTGCAAGTATTGCAGAATGATTCAGTCTACTTTGGAGCCATTGTTGGACGTGTTGCCAATAGAATTGGAAGTGCTCAATTTAGTTTAAATGGTGTTCACTACAAGTTGGTTGCAAATGAAGGAAAGAACACTCTTCATGGTATGTTCATGATCATTCATGTTACCTAATCTAAATTTCCAGGACCAATGTTCTTCTCGAAATTTGAGTTAAATATTGGATATATAACATAATTTTCTTGTGATTATATGTCAGGTGGCCTTAAAGGATTTAGTGATGTTGTATGGACAGTAAAAAGTTACATCGAAGATAGTCACATAACATTCACCTATAACAGCTTGGATGGTGAACAAGGTAAAACTTGGACAAGAATTAAGAATGACTGTGGATGTGACTAATGTAGATTGTGCAACACTAACAATGAAATCTCTGCTAATTGTTAATGCAGGCTTTCCTGGTGATCTTGTTGTATCAGTAACATACATGCTTATTGAGACAAATAAATTAGCTATTAAAATGGAAGCCAAAGCTCTTAATAAGGCCACTCCAGTAAACTTAGCCCACCACACCTACTGGAATCTCCATGGCCACAACAGCGGTGACATCCTCTCGCACCATCTCCAGCTTTTCGGGTCCAACATCACACCCGTTAATGACCAACTCATTCCCATTGGTGAAATTGCCCCTGTGAAAGGAACACCCTATGATTTCCTTGAGCCCCAAGAAATTGGTAGCAAGATAAATGAGTTGCCTGATGGGTACGACATCAACTATGTGCTAGACCCTTCAAGTTACAAGAATTTGAGGAAGGCAGTAGTGTTGCGTGACAGTGTGTCGGGCCGAAAATTGGAATTGTGGACTAACATGCCAGGGCTGCAGTTCTATACAAGTAACAAGTTGAACAATGTGAAGGGAAAAGATGGATTTGTATACAAAAAACATGCTGCAGTCTGCTTGGAGACACAGGGGTTCCCAGATGCTGTGAACCACCCAAATTTTCCTTCACAAGTTGTGAAACCAGGAGAGACTTATTTGCATGTTATGGTTTACAGATTTACTGCTGCCTAGAGCATTTTACATGTTATGATTTATAGATTTATTTGCATCTTTCATGTTTACTGCTTCTAGTAATGCTCTTATATATATAATTGGGGAGTGTGCAGAGAAACATGCCCACTATGTTTGCTTAATACAATGCAATTATATAAATAATGGTGGTTCTTCTCATGCATATGCTTATATTATTAGGGTGGGCATTTTATACCCAAAACCGAAAAACCGCAAAAACCAACTCGATAATTTACCGCAATGAAACCGCAATCGCGGTAAACCGAACCGCATTTGCGGTATTTGATTTTCAAAACTTGCGGTTACCGCAAACCGCGAATATATTTTAAATAATATTGTCTATATTATATTATATGTAAAATATCCTATTCTTTCACAAGTTGCCAAGGATATCTTTGCAATTCCAAGTTCTACGGTTGCTAGTGAAAATGCTTTTAGCCTAGGCAAGAGGATTGTGGATCTTTTTAGAAGTTCTTTGCATCCTAAAATGGTAGAGGCATTAGTGTGTACTAGTGATTGGCTTAGAGCGGACGAATTTTCCTTTTACAAGGAACCAACGGATGATGATGTTGAATTCTACAAGGAAATGGAATATATGACAACTTGTAAGTAATTAGTTTATTTATGCTCATGTTATTTATGCTTCTTCTTATAATAAAAAGTACTGAACTTATGTTGTTTTATTTGTAGATAGCATTGGTGCTCAAACAACACAACGGGGTTCTTCAAATCCACTCACCACCACCAACACTTGAGTTTGTAACATTGGTGCATTGCATTTTCCTTTTTGGTTTGTAACTTTAATTAACTTTGAATTGGATTTTCTTTTGGGTTGTAACTTTAATTCATTTTGCATTGCATTTTCCTTTTGGTTTGTAACTTTAAAGAATTTGGAATTGGAATGCTTGAGAAGTTTAACTTTAATTGGAATGCTTGGAATTGAACTTTAATTTTCTTTAGGTTATGAATGTTTGAGAAGTTGAGGAGATTGTGAATTTATATATGCTTGAGAAGTTGGATTTTTATGACACAAAAAGAACTTGCGGTTTTAAACCGCTAATTCATGGAAACCGACCGCTTTTTGCGGTTTACCGCGCGGTCGGTTTGCGGTTTCAAAAATCACCATACCACAAATAGTCGGTCGGTTTGCAGTTTGGGCAAAAATTCGAGGTTACCGAACCGCAACCACCCCTATATATTATTATGAAAGGACTAAATTTTAAAACCCATAACAAAAATCAAAAGGAAACCTTAATCAAATTTAGAACCATAAAAGCTATAACAATAAGAGCTCTTACGATTGTCATTTTGATTGTTAATTATTTCAATTTTGGGTTGTATTCATGCAATGAAGTTTATTGCAAATTCTACGTCACTTATAGAATGTCCACGCATAATTTAAGGGGGGGAAAACAAACTTCTATATGAAATCAAAGAGAAAAACACAGTTTTCAGTTAATAGGTGACACTTCTATTCTTGGGGGACGGTTTTTGATCTGTTGCAGCGGTTTTTGTACTTTTCCTGACGATTTAAATGCCTATTTTATTGAAAATGTATTTAGAAGCGGTAAAAACCGTCGCTAGCCGTCGCTATTTCTATTTTTATTGAGGATCAAGAAAACCGCCGCTAAAAGTCCGTAAACTAAATTAAGCTTCTCCCCACCAAATCGGGAGGCGCAGAAGAGAAAATAAAAACCATAAAAAACCTCCTTTTCATTCTCTTTATATTTATGTACAAATTACATGAAAACAATATTAAATGTGTATGTCCAAATTATTACTTGGATACATGAAAAAGACCCAATTTCTTAATCAAACTAACATGAGATGGGAAAATAAAAGTATTCAGTGCAAGTTTCTCACACCGCTCCTTTGTAAATGTGATCCCTATTCCTCCACTACATGCTAGCAACTTCCTGCTTGCAACATTGCCTAATCTTCTTTCATTGCTTGTAACATTGGGTGATCCTGAGATTGCTACCTCTAAACATCCCATGTGCATCTTTAACCATTTATATGCTACAAACTGCATCCAAGCAGCCATTGCACCTAAAGTTCACAACATTAGATGGAAAATAAAAAACTGATTGGCTATCACGTCAAACTCAATAAGTGATAGAACCAAAGTTTAAATTTTCGACCATAGACAACTTTTTTTATAATAAACCATAGACAAATTTTTAACATCAATGTCATGCCTATCAAATATACCAGGTCGAAAGGAAAATTGCTCTACAAAATTTCCCTTCCCCATCATGGCAAATATGTTGAAACCTCATTTTGAAATAACAGTTAACGCAAACTTTACCAAAGTATATTTCTAACCATAGCCCATCAATTTTGTCCCCAAGATTTAACTTTGTTATGCGGCGATGACAATTAACGAAAATGTTGGGAAAAGATTCAATGAAAAACAACTATAAATTTGTAAAGGTGTTTGTGTCTGTGCACCCATGAGGTCAGTGTTCATCAGCACAACAGCTGACTCAATAAGCCAAGCTTTGTTCAGGTAACATTAAGTACACTAATAGAACATTATGCTGCATGTGATGCTTGCAACAAATTTAGGTCTACACTGACAACTGAGAGTCATTTGAAAATAATATTAAGAATAACCACAAAACAGAGCTGATACCTTTGACCCCAGTATTTGCAATCTTGTTTTGATCACATCCAAGGGAGTTGCAAGATATGTCATAAAGCCTGAAGAATACAAAGCAAGTATAAATCACCCTACAGAAAATTCTGAATTCGATTTTAAAGACTTAGATAGTATAAGCAAGGTATATTCCACCAGCCAATCCTCCTAGTATAGTCCCTGAACAGAACTGTCAACATGGAAATTTGGATTGTGTACGTATTTTTGCTTCCCATACTCTGTCAAATATGTCAAGCCTTCATAGAATATAACCTACAATAGTGCAGACGAAAAGTTTGAGACAAAACCATTCTACTAGAAATAAGAACTAGAGATTATTAAGGAAATGGCAACATAATAATGAAACTAAATCATATTGAGGCCAAAAGCCTAACTGCCTTATGATTCACCAACGACCAAAAGAGAGTATGTTTGATTTTTCAATGTTGGGACAAAACAAAACAAAACAAAACAAAACAATAAACTAGTGGGGGAAAATGCATGTTAAGAAGTTGCAATTCTATTCGAATCAATTTTGGATATTAGGTGTTGCAATCCTATTTTCTCAGTGTTACGAAGTAATTCATGTAAATGCCAAAAAAAGTTTGAGACAAAACCATTCTACTAGAAATAAGAACTAGAGATTATTAAGGAAATGGCAACATAATAATGAAACTAAATCATATTGAGGCCAAAAGCCTAACTGCCTTATGATTCACCAACGACCAAAAGAGAGTATGTTTGATTTTTCAATGTTGGGACAAAACAAAACAAAACAATAAACTAGTGGGGGGAAAATGCATGTTAAGAAGTTGCAATTCTATTCGAATCAATTTTGGAAATTAGGTGTTGCAATCCTATTTTCTCAGTGTTACGAAGTAATTCATGTAAATGCCAAAAGAAAGGGTTAAATGGCATTCATATGATTACATGCCAAAAAATTGAGCTTTACCATTAGCCATGAATGTTACATCTTTACTCTATGTGATCACACCTGCCTTGCACAAAGAATAGATGGCTCTGAATACATGTCTTCATCATTCTTTCCCGAAATTCCCTAGGAATGGTTCACCTTAGAAACTCCCTCCAAACTATATTGACAGATCAAAAACTCAATTACTAACTTCCCACAAGTCCAAATATTTTCAACTATGCAAAACCTCATAATCAAACACAATTTAATACCCACATTGACATATACAATTATGTATTCACTCAACCTTGATTTCTTTTCTTTCCCAACAATACTTTAAACACAAAGAAACATACTTTTTCCCTTACATTTCTAACGCTGGGTGAATTAGTTTCTTTACTATTGAAAAATAAAATAAAATTTGGGGGTTTTCAGCTGCTTCAAATTGCAAGTTAAGCCCATATCTAAAAGTCAATGCTTTACCATCCTGATATTTAAGAATCAAATTCTTTCTAATCTTTTGAAAATTCTCGCCATTTCTATGCCATAAGATGCTTATAATCGAAGTGGGAAATCAGAGAATTGGAAGACTTACCAAAGAAAGATTGGTGGGGTTGTGTTCGAATGGGATAAGGGTTGAAGAAAGTGTTTGAGCTCCAATTCGAGAGAAGTGACGACTGAGAAAGCCCAAAAATTTCCTCACAGTCTCACCGCCGATCACATCTCGAGCAGTCGAATCGGCCTCTGGCTAATGAATTTTCGGATCGTTGGATGTGGTTACCGTTAATGTTCATATGAAAAGTCTATAATACCCTTAATGATGTAGGTGAGCTGGTAGGGTAGAGACGACATTTTATATTCTTCATATTTGTAAATAGACCCCACAGTCTGTTGGCGTGTAGTGAAAAATTAATTATCAAATGACCCCATGCTTTCTTCTTTTGTTCTGTTATGTTCTTCCAGCTTCCAACTCACTTGCAATGGCAAACCAAACTAACTTAACCCGTATCGTCAACGAGATCTAGCCCAGTAGAAAATGGTATTCACTTGCATATCAGTGTTTTTGGTCTTATTAGTGTGTGTGTGAGAAACCCTCTCTCTTGTAATCCAAGCCAAAGCCCAAGTCAGAAATTCAGGTAGGACATTTCTGTCATCAACCCAACAAGAGGAAAATTGTACCAACCGTGCACCAAATTGGCTGGTACAAAAAACTTAGCCAGAAATTAATCATCACTGAAGAAGATGGCTGGTGGTACCTCCAGATTGCAAAATTTTGATACCAAACTCTTCACCAACAACTTGTACCCAAAAAAAGAGAAGAAATATAAATCAAGAAAAGAATATTATATATCTCAACAATGTAAACTTTTATACACATTCTTGATTCTACATCAAGAACTTGACCATTCTGCAAAGAATTTATAATCACAAGAACTATCAAAACAATAAAACAAAAATTACATAAATTTGTCATGAGAATTCTACCGGCATCTCAAACCGGCACAACGGACAGAGGTGACTCTTCTCCAGCCAGTTCACTATGCAACTCTCATGGTAGACATGAAAGCAAGGCATGCGAGTGGCTTCAGAACCATTTACAATCTCTTCCAAACATATAACACAAGGCTTTGCACAGCCTTCAACTTTCACCTTCTCTAGCTCATCAATTGCTGACTTTCTTGCGCGCACCAACTGTAACACATGGTCAGAAATTTCGGGTTCGTCTTGGTCCTCCAAGAATGGTTCATGTCCAACTGTAAGGGACACTAGTATTGGAATGGTGTTTCGGTTCCTGTTCTCAGGCTCACTGGCAATCTCACGAGCACGAGTAGAAATCGTGTGGATCATGAAGGGCTGAACATGATAGGGAACCAGTATCTGAGTAAGCATGTTGGATATCAAAGACCAGGATGTTCTGCTCTCTGTTAAAAGGTGACATTGCTCCTTGAACTTATGGAAGTGTAAAGTAGACCTTGGAACTAGAGGGTAATCTTCTTCCCTTGTAAAGGAAGCAAAAATCTCAATCAAGAACTCGGGTTTTCTTGAGTAGAGAAAATCTTCTTCCCCAGGTTCGAAATTTTCTGATTGCCATACTTCACAACTCGAAAAGGCTCTGTAGCTTGACATGTAGACAAATATTAAAAGGGCAAAGAAAGAAATAAGGGAAGACGCTCTCATATGGGGGCTATTGATTGCTAATGCCTAGTATTTATATTGTCTTTAAATTTTGCTAATTCAGTTCGAATTTGTATTGCAAAGCCTGTTGGTTTATGGATAGGAGTGACTTTGAAGTTAAGGATAAAACATGTTAATTAAATTTGATCGTTATGTCTGTGTCATACTTGAAAAAGGTTTACTGATTTATGTAGGAATAGGGTTATCTTAAATTTGATTTTAGCTACTCAAATTCTGTAACTTCATTTTTCTAATAAAATTACATTAAAACGGAAACCCAAAACAAACCGACCTCATCCAAAAAAGTCGAAGTTATTAAATTTGAAATCAAAATAGTGCGTTCATTGGATTTACAATTCGATTGAACTGCTACCAGGATCTTGTTTTACAACTCCCTTCTTTTTCATCTCCTTTCTTATCTCTTTGACATTATCCCATTCGGCCACGGCGGCATACAAATTCGACAGGAGTCCATAGTCTCCACTATTTTTAGGCCCTGTGTCATGTAAATGGTTCATAATCTGACTCGCTAGACTAGCATCTCCTTGGGCTTGACATGCCCCAAGCAGCATGCGCCATATTATTGTATCTGGTTTATCTGGCATGTTTTGAACAAACTCAAATGCCTCGCTTACCAATCCAGCTCTGCATAGGAGATCAACCATGCAACCGTAGTGTTCCATCCATGGTTTCAGGTGAAAATCATTTACCATTGAATTAAAACACTTTCTCCCCTCGTCCATCATACCGGCGTGGCTGCAGGCAGATAATACGTTGAGGAAGACAATCCCATCTGGCTTAAAGCCCTCTTTTTGCATCTGAGAGAACTGAGCCAGAGCTAGCCTTCCAAGGCCGTGCATCGCTAGCCCTTGTATTATAGTAGTCCAAGACACTAACGACTTCTCCGGCATCCCATCAAAAATTTGACAAGCTTTCTTGATGTTCCCACATTTGGCATGCATGTCCATCAGTGCATTTGACATGGCTATACTCCCTGTTCTAAATCCATTCCTCTCAATATAACGCTCAATCCACTCCCCGAGCTTGAAGCTTTGTAACTTGGAGGACATTGAAATAACACCCAAAATGGTAACCTCATCTGGTCTTATGTTCTTAGCCTCCATCTCTTCAAACAGAGCCAATGCCTCCTTCAGATAATTGTTCTCACTAAAACCATTGATCATAGAAGTCCAAGAAACCACATTTCTTATAGGCATCATCTGGAATACCCGGCTAGCATGTGATAAAAACCCACATTTTGAATACATACTAACCAAAGAATTGTAAATAAAAACATCATGATTATCAAGAAGGTGTCCTCTAATCGCATAGCCATGAACTGCCTTCCCTTGCCTCAAGGCCTGCAAACACGAGCAAGCAGAAAGCAAGCTAACAACACTTAGTCCATTTAGTCTCAAAGCCATGGCACTGGCAACTGCAAGTGCCTTATAAGGGAAATTGTGCTGAGCATATGCTGCAACAATAGAATTCCACATAATTAAGTCCCTCTGAGGCGTTTCATCAAATACTTGTTGCATATATCTAAGCTCACCAAAAACACCATACATATTCAGAAGGGCAGTTTGAATTATGATCTCAGAGACAAAACCCAGTTTCAAAATGTGGTTATGTAACTGTTTCCCTTCAAGAACTATTGGCATAAGCCGGCATGCCTTAATAGCAAACTGCAGGGTATAACTATCCACCTCCAGACCCTTTCTTCTCACATGGGAATAAACCAAAAGCGCTTCTTTTGGATGATTTCCAGCCAAATAACCTCTGATAATGGTGTTCCAGGTGTAGGTATCGAGACCGTCTACTCGGTCGGCGATCAAACGGGCAGTGAAATTTGTGGCGGGGAGGGCAATTAAGGCAAAAGATGAAACAAGTTTGCTTGCTATTGGAAGGTTGTGAACGAGGCCTGTAGTAATTATACGCGCATGGATTTGATGGAGTTGGTCTCTGTGTTTGCATTTTTGCAAGAGTGAAGTTATATCTTGAAATGGGTTATGCTTTAATTTGACGATGGATGGTTTGGGAGACATATAAGATTTGAGTTTCAAGTCTTGAAATGGGTTATGATTTAACAAAGGACTTGGGAAAACAAAAAAAATACAGGGACCCTTCTTTAAGTAGTTAAGTTTCAAGTCCTCCTCTGTTAAGCAGTTAAGCAACACTATTTTAATCCTCTCTCTCTCTCTCTCTCTCTCTCTCTCTCTCTCTTTTGTTCCTTTGAAATGAAGTCATATTGCGCAAATGAAATTTTAAGTTTGAAGGATGTTTTGCATCCTGCAAAAGGGTCTGGCATACGAGCAAATAACAGTCCCGGACGTATGTAAGAGTCAAGCATATTATAAATTGATCAAATCTTTGGAAAGGGCAACGTGAAATAACACTCCTATGGTCAATCACTATAAAGCCAGAATTTTCACCATTGACACAAATACAAAGATAATGGCAATCCATCACTAACAGAAAAGATTGAGGAATTCTGAAGTCTCTGAATAAACAGTGCATGCAATTTGATTTCAATGAGCAGAGTGAGCGGCAGTTGTCTTCTTGAAATCAATCTTGTCAACCTTAACCTCCCCGTCAATGAGTTCATACACGTAGACAACGACACGGAGGCCATCAATGTCCATGAGGACAAAGCTTGGGTTGACATCATAGGTGATGCTGCTATAGGCGCCGCTGGCAGACCCTGGGTTTATGACAACGCCTCCTTCATGTTTGTAGGCTGTGAACTGATGGGTGTGACCTGTCACAAGGATATCTACGTCCAACTGCCTTTGAAGCATGGCTAGTGAGTCTAGGTCCCCCCATGGAATAACCTACATAACATCAAAGCCAATTACGATTTCATGATCACTGGCTGAAATATGGTCAGATAAAAGGACAAAGCAAATCCTTGAGATAAATTTCTCTCATCACCATCAAATTTAAAATGAATGAGATATGCCAAACGTAAACACTGTTACGGTACCACATCTAATTACCTCATTCCAAATAACAGCATTTTAGAACTACTTACACTCATTACAAAGCAGCAATCATTCTCTTGGATAGAGGTACTGATTTACTCAAAGTCTTTCAGGAGCTAAAATTCCATTTGCTACTCTTAAAAGGAACTTTTCTAGATCAAATAAACAGATGAACTAATGCAAATTATTATTGGTCTCTTCCCAAGAATTACTGGACATGTTTCAAGTATTATTTATTCTTATGCGCTAAAAAAAAAAAAAAGTATTCCTCCTAGTCTTTTTTCCCACTGTCTTCTCATTTTTTGCCTAGAAGTGCAAGAAAGTGTAATCTGCTTTATGTTGAAGGCATTGTAGAATGAGGAGAATCTAAAAATGGGCATATGATGAATTGACATCATAAGCTTATTATAATAGCAACTGAGGGTAAGGAACTCGTAAACCAGCATAAGTATTTGATCCAAACAACCAGAATATTACTTGGTGTAGATTATTTAAACAGGGCAAGATCATCTGCTTATTGACAGGTCAATCCAAATTCTAAAGATACTAAAAACATACTTACTTGCTCACTGATACAGATAGAAATAAGTGAAGAGATAAAGGGGAAGCAAACCTGGTGGCCATGACACAACCCGAGCTTAAACTGACCAATAGTTAGCGTTTTGGTCTCTGGATATCTTGTCTCTTCATCATACTCACCTCGAGCAATATGCAAGTCGGGACAAAGGGTCTTCAAGTAGTCATGAACTTCCTGAAATCATTAGTAACAAATTTCTGAGAAGTGGCATAATGTACAGCCAAATTAATTTGTTAATTGAAAAACATATTTCTATAGTAGTACTGCTACAAAAATTAAAGGTACATCATTAGCAGTTGCATGAGCTGTTACAATACTTGAGATATGTCTAAGACCAGGCAGATAGGATGACACAAATATATGACTTATTCGCAATATCTGCCAAAGTCTGTGCAAGAATCTAGCAAATGAATCAATTCCAACCAACTGTATAAATCAACCAGATGAATGTTCTATCCAAGAATCTAGCAATTCCTACAAGGTACATGCAGACATTACCCAATCAAGCGGTGGCTAAGTAGAAATTCATGGAATTCAGAATAAACTAATACATGGGTCGATGCATACCATCTTCTATAGTTGTATCAAATTGCCATTAGTTTGTTGAAATTATTCTTGATACAAGTCTATACAGCAACATGCACATAAGTTTGACAAGAACCTGGATAGGGAATGCCGTTCCTATATGTAAGATTTTATTTTCTGGGATACCAAACAAAGAAAAACACAGTAAAACTAACTCAAAGATTGGTTCGAAATGTAAATTAAGCTAGACCCAGTAAGGAAAACTGAAGGAAATCAATGAAGAACTGGCAGAAACATGAAAAGAAACATACTTTGATACAAAGATTTCCAGTGCAAATGATGTGCTGGATCTTGCCAGGAACAAGCATGGACTTGAACTTGGCAGGTAGATCAGGTGCCCTGTGGGGTATGTGTAAATCCCCCAAGGCCAACACCAACACCATCCTCACTCAGTCTCACCAATAACTCAAAACCCACTTCAGAAATCTGCGAAAAGACCCAAAAATCAAATGAAAAATGAAAATGAATAGATTTACATATCAATCAAAAATATTCTTATTCACATGAACTAATTAATCTGTGATTGCATCAATAATTGTAAAACGAATACAAACAACTATTTAAGAATGAAAAAAATGGGATTAAAGATAGTTGAGATCGTACCAGAAGGATTTGATGATCTTTCACAAGCTTAAGGCATGGAAATTGCAAAACCTCCCTTCGTTGTTGACGGGCTCTGAATTTCTTCTTCTTTTTCTCCTTGGAGTAATGTTCTTTTTTGTCAACGAACGTCTAAAACCACACGACGTCGTTTTTTGTAGTGGTCTGGCCTCACTCAAGTCCCCAAGCCAATGAACATATGTCTTGGGCTGTTGCAATAATGCTAATGGGCCACATTATGGACTTGACTGTTGCTTTGGGAGATAATGGGCTTTTTATGTATAATGGAGTGTAGTTTTTGTATTATATTTTAGGATCAACTACGTATAAGCCTCAAATTTTCGGGATCATTTCATATTCATATCCGAACTTTTTTTTTTAGAAAGAGAATTCATTAACGACATGATACAGTGGCCTCGTTAAAACCTTCCTATGACAACCTCATAGGACAAACCCCAAGAGAGGAAAGAGTACCACACATGTCATATCCGAACTTATAAGATCGTACAAATGGGTATCTAAAATCACAAAAAACCTGCAAATTCACCCCTCTATTAGTTACACAATCAGTCAATCTATTATATATATGTTTACGTGGCAAAAATAGTCACGTGTCAACTTGTAAGATCGTACAAATGGGTACCTAAAATCACAAAAAACCTGCAAATTCACCCCTCTAGTAGTTACACAATTAGTCAATCTATTATATATATGTTTACATGGCAAAAATAGTCACGTGTCAGCTCGAGATTTGGAAACGCCAACTGATAGTCACTTACCTTCTTGATCGTGATGATGAGGTTGTCATAGAGTCGAAGGGCTTTGTACACATTGAAGTAGGCTCATTTGTGATGAGAGTCCATCACAATTGAGAAACATAGTGAAATGCTAATGAGAAAAGAACAAGTCAAAGGTATGAGGATCTTTGGGTAACTGTGGGTTTAGGATCGTGATGATGAGGTTGTCATAGAGTCGAAGGGCTTTGTACACATTGAAGTAGGCTCATTTGTGATGAAGAGTCCATCACAATTGAGAAACATAGTGAAATGCTAATGAGAAAAGAACAAGTCAAAGGTATGAAGATCTTTGGGTAACTGTGGGTTTAGGTTAGGTTAAAGCACTGACAGACTCGGCTAATGACAAGTGTACGCATAAAAAATTCAACCTAATGCCTTGTCAAACTCTCTCCTTATACCTTGTTTTCTTTAATGTTTTAACCCCCCATATGATCTTGTTTGAGCCTAAATAAATCCACCCAAAAGAGCGAGAGCTCACTGTGAGTTGATAAGTCGTGCAAGGTTAGTGAAGTCCCAAAGCAGGGTTGATAAGCCCAAGGATGGCAGCCAAAGTCCAAGTCATGACTTAAATCCCAAGTCCAAGTC